TAATATAATATAATATAATATAATATAATATAATATAATATAATATAATATAATATAATATAATATAATATAATATATATAATATATAATATATATTGACTNCTTAACATCGAATGCATTATATTATAATGCATCCTCCGTGCATCGCAAAAAGTAGCATGAGAATAAAACAACTTTGAAACTTATTTGAATTTTAATGTCGATTTTCAAGAGAACAGGTTATTCTTGACTCATGGTTTCTCTCTTTGATACCATCGTTCCACCTGACGAGTGCTGTACGATGCAATAATAAAAAATTTTATCTTGAAAATCATGCTCAAGGTTAACTTCCCAAGACCAGTTTTTTTTAATGAAATGTTCACTGATCACACATACGTGTACAATCACGCTGTAACGGTCGCGCAATATACATAATTTCCTAACACCCTGTACATAGGAAAATTAGTAAACCCAGCGATATCGGGGAGAGAGACTTCCGATGGTCGACAAAGGGCATCGTGCCAACAGAAAAGCGATACTTTATCCAGTAGTTATGCAATGTAATCTCACTGTAGATTAGATTGTTTTCGAGACTGGTCCAATAGATTCTTATAAAATGTGTTCATGATATTTATAAACCTGTAGTAAGAGAAGATCATTTCTCATATTATACTGTGAAACCTTTATACGCATTCATGGCATGTGCAGATTTTTCAAATGCAAGAGAACACATAAATTAACAAGGTCTGGTAGTATTTCTTTTTATTTTTCTATAATGAATATCTTTTAATCGACCTTCTAAGGAAACTTTTATGTAATTTTAATCTTTATAACAGACCGCATGAAAACGAGAATTTGCATAATAATTACTTTCTATTTTTCAATAATGTACAGTTTGTGTATTAACATGAACATTTTATAGTAGTAACAGTAAAAATATTATTTCACTTGCTTTTCAGCCTATGAAACGGGATATACATTTTTGTTTCTATATATAAAATTTACGAAGTCAGGAATTCGATGAGCATTTTATATGTGGTAACGTGTTTA